AAGCCCTGAAGAATCTGGAAGATGAGTAGATAGATCACCAGCAGAGATCTTCCCCGCTCAGAGTCTCTGTGCCTCCAGCAGGAAGGGGAGCAGTAGGAAGAGCAGAGATCACTCTGACCTAACAGAATTTCTGCCTTGTTTAATTTTCTGGACATAACCAGCATCATCTAATAAGCTGCAGCTCTTTAACGTTATTTGCACATGAGAAAGAAAATCTGCAGATCAGAGCCAGTACCAAGCTTACCTTGAGCAAGGGACTTAAGTAAACCTCCTTCTTGTAGCGGCAGAACTTGTTCAGCACAAGGAAGGCCAAGACTCTCACTGTTTCCTCACCTGTGCTCCACAAAGTAATTGTTTGCTGGGATAAAACAGAAAGATACAGATTAAGTGAAGGGACAAAGAGCTCCTTCCTGGTCACACACAGGCCTGAGCTTCTCTCCTGCACAGCAAAACCAACAGCACTGGCAGCCCTTCTGTCCTTATACTCTAGCTGTGAGACTACAGGAAAAGGCAAGGTTGATGTTTTCACAATAAATAAACTGTCCAAAACTAGAACCTCTGAAAAATACACACACTTATTTGTGTAGCTGAATACTCTGAGCACAGGCACCAGCCTTGGATGTGACTCAATCACCCAGAGATTCACTTGGCCTGTCAGGAAGAACCTGGTACAGCAGGACCACAATCATTGCTGATGCCTCCAGAAGCCAGTTACCTCATCTGAACTAATGAACTCCACAGAACATCAGAAATATTTCCGCTGCAGGGCTGAAAAAGCCTCCTCAGAAATCCCCACAGTGGCACTTAGCAGACTCCAACACCTCCAGATATGAGGTGTCCCAGCCTCCCACCCCTGTACACCAGTCATCTTTGCCATCAAAGGGTTCCCAGCCTCATTTAAATGTTGCCTTGCAGTGTTTTTTTTTCATTTAAATGTCACCCTGCTGCCCTCTTCATCTCTTCCACGCCTCCTTTGTTGTTCTTAATGCTCAGCAGTTGTGACTAAGTTTCTGTAAAAATATTCCACCCCCAGCTCTGGAGAGGGAAATGGTACCACAGCGCCTGGCACACAGGCAGCAATTACTCCATCTGTGAGGAGGCAGCAGACAGCTTCCCAAAACACCTCCCTGCCACTTAGGAGCAGCTACACAGAGCCACCTCCCACTCACCTCAGCCTAAGATCAGCTCATGGCACCTGGGAGGCCTGGGAGAGAAGCAGGAATCCTCTCCAGAACCAATAGCAGAGCAAGGGAATAACAGTACAAGAGAATGAACTGTCACGAGATCCAGCCCAAATACCACAACAGGGTTGTCTGGAAGGGGAAAGAAGGTACCTCAGATCCAAATGACACATCACAGCACATCCCCTCACCTTGAGAAGGGCACGGCACTGCTTTGGGAAGGATAAATAATAAGGCACTATGGAGTTGACGTGCTGAAGCACCGCTGCACCAACCGAGGCTTCTGTCAAACAGGACAGGAGCTGTGGAGGCAAAACAAAGTAACAATCCCATTTAGCATGCAGTCCTCACCATCACTTCCTTCCCCATCTCTATTTTGCTGCTTCCAAGTATTTCTGTGTTACTAAAGGACTGGAAGACTAGGTTTTGCTAGGAGGGAGCTCCAACAAACCCGTGATAGCTGTCTCAAAAAAGGAGCAGACACAAGGTGGGTTAAATAACTGCCCTGAAAGCTCATCATCCTGGCAAATGTGAGCTGAGCTCATCACACAGAACCTCATTTGTGTGTACTGCAAAACCTAAGTTTATATGCAGCTGGAGCCACCTTGCAGATGGTCACCTCTGTCATCTCCCTCAGTCTACACAAGGCTTAGAAACAAAACCACCTGAACTGGTAACATACTGGATTGCTGTAGGATTTCTTAAGGGGAAGCTGGAATACTATTAGGTACCAAGAGGTTTTACCTCAAGGAAAAGGTAAGACAAACTATTAAGTAAACAGTATCTTTGTATTTCCAGACTGCTCAGCCCAGTTCTCTGGAGCCAAACCCGGAGATGTTGCAGAGATGTTCTAATGTGAAGCCATCCTAAGTTCCAAATTAATTTGAGAGAGGTTCTGCCTGATGCAGTGCCCCTCTGCCTGCAGTCCCAGCTGCTGGAAGCAGAGGCACATTGTCTACTTTTAATTTTCTTCCTCACCCCCCTCCTGGCACTGCAAAGATTCTGGACTGAGCAGGTCTCCTCTGCAAAGTCCCTCACACACCAAAAAGAAAGCAAAGAAGATATTGCTGAGAAACTACTGTGCCAGAAGAAGCCCTGTGGTGAAGGCTGGCACTGAGGGCTCTCAAGAGTCAGCACAGGAGCAGGGATTGCTCCAAGGCACTGCACTGCCAGCTTTTCCTTGTCTACTGCAATCCTCTGCTGCTGGCAGGAGGCACCACGGACTTGAGAGAAAAAAAAAAAAAAACCCTCTACTGATCAAAATGTCCTTTCTGCTAAGTCATTCTCCAGCTTACAGCTAGGAGACACCAGCACTGGTTTTCTCTTCTTGCATCCCCCTCCCCTCAGCTTCTGAAGAGGGAGTATTTCAACACTTCTTTTAATATTCTAAATTTGGGGATGCATGATGAAGCAATCTTAGAAAAAAAAAAAAAACAACCCGGGGGCAGAAGTTTCCTTCAGAAATAATCCATGAATTGTATCTGAAACACCAGACATGAGCTATTCTGGGGATATCCTAGAGAGATAGGACATTATTATCTATGTCCTATGTGGGATTACCCAGATAACACCTTCTTAGTATTTACCTCAAGAACTGGCAAGGTCATAGTGCCAAAAACTGAATTAACAATGCAGAATTTAGGAGCACAGCACTGCAAGATACTTTAAGGCCTATTAAATATTAATTTGTCGGACAAATTAAGACAGAAACAACCGCCAGAATGTTAATCCAACCATCCTTTACTGGCTCCCTATTTTGACCCAACCATCCTACAGACCTCCAAATTGGTAGTTGGACCCAACGCTTCCACGAGTCAGGGAACTGGATGGACACACAAACCTCAGACAGGTAAAAGCCCACCTGCCTCATCCCAAAATATCCCAAATAACAGCCCACCAACGCACAGACTGACCCCAGCAACAGAATATGATGACATTTCTTACTTGTATGGTACAGCCAAGGTACACTTTTATGTCCAGTCGCAGTTTGCCCCAGAGCGGGCTGGTGGAAGGGAGAACCATCCTGGAAACGAGCAACAGTTGGGTTTAGCTTTAGAAAACCCACCAAACAAATTAGATGTCAGCTGCCAAATGAGCAGTGAGTTCAACTCCTTGATACTGCCAGTGAGCAACAACTGCTTGCAAAGCACGAACCGAGGAGAAGTAAAAATTATGTCGCGGGTGAAAAGAAAAACCTCTGCTCTGTAAAAACTGCCTGGAGCACAGCAGTAGGAAGTTCAATTCAAAGAGCTTCCAAGCTCTCTCTGACCCTGCAGTTCCCAGATCCCCTCACACTTACTTGGCTTTCTTCTTTGGGGCTCTGGGAAGCAGCAGCTCCTGCAGGTAGTGGAAGAGGTCCCGGATACAGAAGGACACAAGGGCATTGAACACTGGTTAAAACAAAAGCCAGCAAAGCACTTGTAAATGATTTTCCACACATCCCTGGCTTCTCAGCTAATGTGAAAAGAGCTCCCCCAGGAACTGAAGCAGTAATTTCCATAGCAGAACTGCTGTGTTTCCCCGAGCTCCGAGAAAACACCAGTTTGCCTTATCCCAGAATTTTTTTATCTGAAGAATAAGATTACAACAGACAGCTTTTGGCAAAGGGGCCCTTCTCCAAGCAAACAGCACCAAACATCTTTTCTGACACCAGAAAAGATCCCATTGCACAGACTCACCACCAGGAAGATAAGCTACTTAAGTGAAATGAAGCCTGTGAAAGGGTAAGTTAACTCCTGCCAGTGCCTATCTCCACTCTCTTCCAAGAGCTGAACTGCCCCACAAAATCATTTCCCTTCCCTCACAGATGCAAACAACTCACCTGCAGTATCAGTCACTTGGAACTTGCTGGGATCACCCCCGCTGTCTCCTTTGGTGGTGGCTACAGCTGCTTTATAGGCTTGAGTGATTTCATGGAAGAGCCTTGGTGTCAGATTTCTCTGGGGGGGGAAGAAGGAGAAGGATTGCCGAGGAGAAAAAGCAAGAGATCTTCTGAAACGCTTCAGTATCGGAATTAATTGTTAAGTTTGATGGCAAAACCAGCTCTGATATGAAGGATAAAGGTCAGGACAGTGTTAATAAACACTGGAGGCCTTCACCTGCTCTAAAACTGGCTTTTAATTGGCTGGAGGTAGGGGCTGAGAAGCAATCAATCATCTGCAAGTAATTATGCAATTGTGATCTTCCTTCCCCTTGGTCAGAAGCAGAAGCCATTTCATTACTACTCAAACCACGACCACAAAAGCTCTTGGAGCTTCCAAATGCACAATGTAAGAGGATGAAAAATCAAAATTTCATCATTTTGGCCTCTTCTGAACCACATATTTCTCTAAGTTCTCCCTCAGATGGGCTGCAAGTACTCAACCTTGCAGTACAAGGAAAACTGCACTGAAAAACAAAAGCTCTGAGAGCCTGAGACATAAATATACTCTACAGGTTTTTGTCCAAGACTGCCTGGAAAAGATCAACTCGTGATTTGTTAATGACAGATGTGGAACTGTGTTTAAAGGAGGACACTCAGGAGCTTCGTATTCCAACTCCCCTGCTCACCTGTGCAGCTTTTTTCCAGTCTTCAACCATTTTCAGGCTCACAGAGATGAAAGAAACTCTCTTCCTTTTGACTTTTTCTTGTTCTTCCTCTTCCTCATCATCTTCATCGCTTGCTTCCTAGAGAAGCCACAGCATGACTGAGAAAAGGTTTATGCAATTCTCTTCTAGCCCCACCTCTCTTTTGCTGAGCAGCTACTGAAGAGGAATCAGATTTTATTAATGCCGTTATCAGTGCTTTGTGTAAAGAAAAGATGAAACTAGAGGTATTAAAAATTGATTTTAAAAAAGGCAGCTTAAGCTGTTTTGCTAAAACATCAAGGAGAAAACACATCACTTGAGGCAAAATTATTACTGAGAAAGATGACACAAAACCAAAGTAAAGAATTCACTAAAAAGAAAATACACTCCAAGGCTCTGCTTTGACAATCTTTAACAGACTTCTCGTGCTCAGTTCAAACCTCCAGCTGATTTCTGGGATTACAACCTGTGAATGAGCATAAAAACCTCACATGAAAATAACTGAATTAATTGATTCCAGCACTCCGAAACATGCCCTGGTACCTCCAGCGTATCAGGGGGTCTGTGCAGTGGCTCCTCCTCATCAGAACTGTCTGAGGCATCAAAATCCAGCAACGTGCGATCGTTTTCCTCCAGAAACTTGTAGAATTCAGGGTCTCTGTCCTTCAGCCTGGAGAGCTGATCCTTGTGTTCAGATGCCTTTCCTTTCTTCCTGGGGGAATAAGGGTTAACGTTAATTAGCATTTATCCACTGCTCAGACTTTATTCATGTGTATTTATTAACTTTATTCACAAGCAGCCCCTGGTCACTGAATCTATATAATGAATCTATAGCCTCTATAGCAGAGGCTGCAACGAACCCAACAATCAATTAGGTTGGAAAGGCCCTCCCAGCCCATGGAATCCCCACTGTGCCCCATCCTCACCTTGTCCCCCAGCCCAGAGGACCACATCCAGCCTTTCCTTGGGAGTGGGGACTCCAAACCTCCCTGGGCAGCCCCTTCCACTGCCTGACAACCCTTTCCCATGAGGAAATTCCACCTGATGTCCAACCTGACCCTCCCCTGGCACGGCCTGAGGCCGTTTTCCCTCCTCCTGTCCCTTGTTCCACGAGAGCAGAGCCCGACCCCCTCCGGCTCCCCCTTCCTGTCAGATGGAGAGCCAGAAGGTCCCTCCTGGAGCCCCCTTTTCCCCAGCCTGAGTCCCCGCAACCCCTCCCGGTGCATCCCCACCCCTCACCTGCCGGGGGCCGCCATTGCTGTCCCCGCCACGCGGCCGCCACTTCCGCTCCCGGCCTGCCCCGCGCGCAGCCACGCCCACTGTCCCTAAACCACGCCCCCGCCGCTGCCTTGGTCACGCCCCACTCTCGTCTTGGCTCCGCCCCCACCCCGCCGATCCCGACCTGGATCGGGAATATCGTGTCCAGATGGAGCGGGAAAGCGATTTTTCCTCTGTGCTGGGCTGTGCCCAGTTCGGGGCCCCCTCAGTTTATTGACGGGCTGGAGTGTGTCCAGAAATGGGAAGAGTCTGGAGCAGCAGGAGCGGCTGAGGGAGCTGGGGGGGTTCAGCGTGCAGAAAAGGAGGCTCAGGGGGGAACTTCTGGCTCTGCAATCCCTGACAGGAGGGGGGAGCCGGGGGGGGTTCGAGCTCTGCTCCCAAGAAACAAGGGACAGGAGGAGAGGGAACGGCCTCAAGCTGTGCCAGGGGAGGGTCAGGTTGAGGATAAGGAGGAATTTCCTTATGGAAAGTGTTGTTAAACATTGGAAGGGGCTGCCCAGGGAGGTGGTGGGCTCCCCGTCCCTGGGGGTGTCCAAGGAAAGCCTGGCCGTGGCCCTCAGTGCTCTGGGCTGGGGGACGAGGCGGGGACGGAGCACAGGGTTGGACTCGATGATTCCGGAGGTTTTATCCAAACTCAAGGATTTTGTGACTCCCCGTCCAGGCCACGCCCCGTCAGCCACTGATCCCGCCCCGTCTCGTGGCTCGCACCCACAGGGGCGGGGTCTGCTCTCCTAACCGCGCCTCCTTTCCAGCTAGACCACGCCCATCCCGCTGGTGGCCCCGCCCCTCGCCCCCCGGTCCGCGGGGCCGCAGCGGGGCCGGTGCCACTCGCTCCGGACCTCCGGACCCGACACTGACACGCGTGCCGGGCCGTGCCGCGGGGTTATTCCGGGTGACGGAGGAAGCCGCAGCCGCGGGGGCCGCCCCGGCTCGAGGAGGAGCCGCCGCTGCCGCCGCGCACCTGCCCGCCCCCGGCCCGCCCCGTCTGTGCCCGCCGCGGGGCCGGTGCGGGTGTAGCGGCGCCCCGCAGCATCCCCCGGGCTGGGCCGTGGCTGCAGCGGAGCCGTGAGTACCGCCGAGGCACGGCCCTGCCGCCACCTCCTCTTCCTCTCCCTCTTCTTGTCCCTCTCTCTCTCTCTCTCTTCCTCTTCCTCTCCTTCTCCCTCTTCTCTTTCCTCTCCCTCCTCCTTTCCTTCTTCTCCCTCTCCTTCCCTCTCTCACTTCTCTTCTTCCTTTTCCTCTCCTTCTCCCTCTCGCTCTCCTCTCTCTTCCTCTCCCTTTCCTTCTCCTTCTTCCTGTTCTCCTTCTCCCTCTTCCTCTCCTTGTCCCTCTTCTTCTTTCTCTCCCTTTCCCCTTTCCCTTTCTTTCTCCTCCTCCCTTTTCCTCTCTCTCTCTTCCCTTCCGTCTCCCCGGCATGGCCAGGGGACCCGGACCCCGCGATAGGAGGGACAGCCAGGGGGCTTATGGGATGTGGGGCAAACCGGAGGGGTTACTGGGGCGTGGGGGGACAGGCAGCAGGGGGGACCCCCGAGAGGATCTCCCCCCTCCGCTACTCCTGCGCATCCCTCCTGGGAGGGCAAGTTTTCTGTCGGAGTCGGGGGGGGGGGGGACACACACCTTTTGCAAAGGTTCGGTACAACCGGTGCCGCTTCCAAAACATTTCCAAAGGTTTGGAACAGCCGGTGCCGTCTCCAGCCTCTGCACCGCGGCATCCCCGTGGCCGAGGCCGGCAGCATCCCCGTGCTGAGCGTGCCCTCCTTCCCCTGTCCTCTGCCGAGTCCTGGAGAGATCCCGTTGGCAAAGGGAAAAGCTGCAGCTCCGGAGCCCGAGGAGCAGCCGCAGAGAGGGGTCTGGCCTGGCCGCGGTGTTCCTTGCCCTCGGTGGAAGCACACGGGTATCAGTGTTTCGTTGGTGATGGGGGAGCTGAAGGACACGAGGAGAAATGTTGCCTCGGGTTTTCTGGAAACTTGGGAGTCGGGGTGGAGGTGGGGGGGAACGGTGGGAAGTGGGACACAGCTTTTTTGTGGCCTCTGCAGTGACTGTCAGGGCAGAGGGCTCTCCTTGAGCTACAGCATCGCTGCTGCTGCTGGAGCTGGAGCTGGTCCTGGAGCAGCAGGCCAGGCAGGCAGCTGGTTTGGTACTGCTGGCTGAGCAAATGCCTCCCTCTCCAGGGAATGACAGCCTTGGGACTTCGACTTCCCCATGGCAAGGAAGGGTGTCTGTCCCTGCTTTCTCTGTGTGTCTGTCCCTGCTCTCTGTGTGTCTCTGCTCTGGCCACTGACCAGGCTTTGTGCCAGGCTCAGACTGCAGAAGCAGTGGCCTTGCTTTGATGGGGTCTCTGCACAGGAAGACAGCTCTCCTTTGGCTTCTCCTTTTGCTGTCCCATAGCACCATTTTGGGGGGCTCTCCGTTGCTGGAGACCACCAGGAGGGAGGTTAGTTCTGGAGTGATTCAGCAACATGTGGATATTTGGGTGCTTTTGATCTCAGCAGTCTGGCCTTTTGCACCAGGAGATGCTGCTCTGTTACAGCTTTGCTGTTTTGGGGCTCACTAACACTTCAGAGGACAGTGGCCTTTTGGTTATGATCCCTACAGCTAAACAAGCATCTCTGTGGAATCTCCTCCCTCTGCATCCCAAGTTTCTCTCCCGACCCGTGAACATCTGCTGGAAACCCTTTATTCAGCATAGCAGTGAGTAAGACTCAGGGATGTTGGGTGTAGAGATCTGAGTTTCCTTCCTGAGCACTGACTGATTAATGAATCACAGCAAATAGCATCTAATTCAGAGCACACCAGGAGCTGGCAGGCGTAACAGGCACCTGCTCTCTTGGCTTGATAGCCCAGGATCCAAATGGAGTTGCTCCACAGCATCTTGGGTAGCAGGGATGGTCCCTGATGCTTCCTGTCAGCTGAGGTCAGCGTGGTGGGGGTGGCAGTGGAACGTCTTTGTTCTGCCAGCAAAGACAGTGGCCATCTGCCCTTGCTCCCTCAGCATCAGTCCTGGTCTCTGGAGGTGGAGTGGCACGTGGGAATCAAGGCAGCAGTGCTCTGAAGGCTGGAGACCTGCTGGGGAGACTGTTCTGGGTTCTGGGCTTGTTTTGCTGCATTTCAGGCTCAGCAGCTTAAAAAACACTGAAGTCCCAGTGCTTCTGGATCTCCTCAGGTGCTGGAGCCCTGCCTCCAAACCCTTAGGCAAGCTGGGCTTGGGGAGGCTCGAGGGGCTTCATCCTTTCTGTCTGGCCTGCTGGAACTGGCTGCAAACTTCTAAAAGGATGTGACTCCTCAGGGGCAGGAATTCAAACTCCTTCAGCTGAAATTCCCAGGGCCTTGGCAGGCCCCCAGTTGTACCAGCAAGCTCAAGGCCACTATGTCACGTGCTCCTCATAGCTCAGTTTTCCTGTATGTAGCCTGTGCCGTTGCCTGCCAGAAGATGTGAGGGAATTCTCTTGTTTTCTGGCTTGAAAACAGGCTCCCACTGCTCCACAGTGTGAAGCTCAGAGCTTGTTCAGAGGAGGAGATGTGGATCAGGGTCTGGTACATCTACGCTGCCAGCCCACACTACAGCACAGGCTGGCAGGAGGCTTTGTAAACCCTCCAGGAACGTGGTGTGGGTCCTGTGGAAGGGGTGAGCCAGGGTGCAAGGTGGTGACCTCCTCTGGTGACCTCCTGGCCTGGAGAGTCACTCACGGGCAGCACTTGCCAAGCAGAATTATTCCACGTCTCGCCCATCTGTAGAAGATGTGCCTGCTCTTTTGCAGCCAGCAGATCCCGGTGCTTTTTCCTTCTTTCCCCTTCTTCTGGAGCCACCAGGCCATGCTGCCCCGTGTCATGGGGTCAGCCTTGCCTTTAGAAGCCAGATTGGTGTCTCCTGCTGGATCTCCCCAAATCTGTCTCTGTTGTCTGACATCAGGGCACTGCTGAGCACGAGTGACCTGCTCTGAACTGCCCCACCTCCTCCAGCCACCATCACCTGGTACAGCAGACAGGTAAAAGGGCACAATCCCTCTTTAAACAGCTGCTGGCCAAGGATGTTGCAGACAGAGAGGGGACTTCTGGGCAGGTCTAGGAGCCAGGAATATGGATACAGGCCGCCTCTGGTGACCTGAGCGCTCTCATCTTGCGTTTACCTGTCTGAAAAATGAGCTGGAGACAGAGATGTCTGTCATAGGGAAAGGCAGAGCCAGGAATACCACAGTGATGGGCAGTGCAGCTGAAGCTGGTGATTAGCACTGCTGCCTGGAGAGGGGATTTGCTTTATGCCTGTGTGTGGAGGTTTGGCACCGCTGGTGCCAAATAATAGCTCTGGATGCGACAGTAGCTCCTCTCCTGTGCCCACTGGGGGACGCTGGGAAGGGGGAATTAGGACACAACCCACATCTTCAGTCCTTGAGAGAGTCAAAGGGCTCATTTCACTTTGGCCTTGGTGTGCTTTGTGCTGGACTGGAGGAACTCCTGTGTGACCCCAGTGCAGCTGGAGAGCTGCACGTTTTGCTGAGCATCTGAAGGCATGAATCCATTTCCATTTCTTGTTCCTCCCTAACCTGTAAATTCAGCAGTCCCAAACCCATTCGGGTCCTGACCCTCACAGCCAATTACTTGAAAATGACCCAGAGCTTAGCACAGATGCCTCTAAATCCCTCAACCATGGAGTCCTGCTTGGAGCAGCAAAATAAGGAAGGAGAAAGCTGAATTTGCAGATGTCTGCAGGAAGAGCTGCTGCCTTTGGGAAGTAAGGGAGAAGGTTGTGTACCCAGGTGGGCACCAAGCAGGCTGGATGCCCCTTCATCTCTCTCAGGTATGAGAATGTCCCAGTGCATTGAAGCTCCCTCCTCTCACAGCTGAAGCTCTTCTGAGCGTGACTTGAGAGCAACTTTGAGCTGAGCTTCCAAACGCAGCTCCCCAGGAGTATTGGGGGGCGAGGCTTTAATTAGAAAAGACCTCCAGCCCTCCTGTGTGCACGGGGGGCCGATTGATTACAACCCACTGAGTTGCTGAAAGGCACCGCCGAGGTCAATGTGCTGAATGCCCTTCTTGCCTGGAGCCAGCACTGTCTCTGTGCTGTAGAGCTGGCAACTGCGCGCAGCTTTTCCCCGTCCTCCCCACCCCCTTTGCCAGAGAGGCTCCACATCCTCTCTGGCAGCTTGTCACTTCTCTGCAGATGTCTAGACAGGAGGATTCAGTGCGTGTCAGTTATGCCTAATTCATTAAAAAAAAAAAAAAAAAAACACCACCACACCAAAAAAAAAAAAAAGAAAAAAAAAGAAAAAAAAAGAAAAACCACCAAACCCTACTGAGAGCTGGGGATTCTCAGTCCTGCAGACTCAGCACTGTCTGCGGTGCCCCGGTGCTGCCTTCAGGCTGGCTCAGAGCAGATTAATTCCATGGATCTGTAGGAGCAGCGAGTGCCTCAGCTCCCACCCGCAGCAGGAGGGCTTGGGGAAGGGCTGCCATGGCTGGCAGAGGGACCAGCAGAGAGGAGAGGAGGTGGGGAGAGGTGTTTGGGGCTGGATGTGTGCTTGTCCTTGCTCCTTGCCCCGCTTGAGTGTTCTCAGCTCCGTCAGGAGCTGGCAGAGGGCTCCAAGGTGTCCAAGCCCTCAGTCTGGGCTGAAACTACCAGCTTCCCAATTCTAGTGTCCCTCCTGAAGGCAGAGCTCCCTTTGCCACGTTGTGTCACACTTCCCATCAACGTTTTCAGCCCCTGTCCAAGGTGCAGCTGCAAATCAGCCCTTGCAGGACCCGCAGTTCAGAGCATCTCGTTCCCTGGTCCTGAACCGGCTTCCTCCCTCTGCTTCCTTCCAGCTGCTGACTCTTCTAGACTGAGCAGGCAATGAACCTTGTATTAAAAAGGCTGGATGTGAGCTGCTGCACACTGTCAGTGTCTGCCTGAATTCCCTGGATCCAGGCAAAGCTTTTACAGGGGCTGAGGAGGGGCTGAACCCCAAAGCACTGCAGTGAGCAGATTTTTCTACCTGCATCAGTGACACTAATGTGACATGCCCTGGTGGGGGCAAGTGCCTTGGATTTAGTGCCTGGTTTGCCATCTGAGTCCTGGGCATATACAACTGGATGATTCCCAGTCTTTTTTGCTTGTGTTTATTGTGGGGAAGGGAGCAGGAAAGGTAGGAACACAATATGTTTTGTATTAGGCAGTGCCAGGCCCTCTGAAAGAAGGAAAAATTTGGGATGTCCAGGCTTGAGGTGTAAGGGCAGTGTATATCTGCTGTAGCCTGTGAAAACAGCCCTGGCATCTGATTATCGATGCAAAAACGCTGCTAATTGTCTGGTAGTTTTAAAGCTTCTGCTTAGTGGGCTTCAGAGCCACGGAGGGGTTCCACAAAAGGGTCGGCTCAGCCAAATTTGGGGTCTCCACAAAGCTGCAAGGGAGGTGAAATGTGCAGCGAGCTCAGCTGCATCTCTGGATGCTGGCGCGAGCTCCGTTAATGGTCTTACAGCACAACAGCCTCTGTTGTTACTGCCAGCTCAGCTGTTTGTGTCCCTTGGCTGTGGAAGGGAAGGAAGAGTCTGCAGGAACACAGGAGCACATCGTCTTCCCGGCCCTGCTCCCAGGAGGGAAGTTGTGCCCGCCCCCACAGCTGGGCAGGGCTTTGCCTGTGCCCCCCCTGGGCTGCCCCAGTCTGCTCCTGCCCCCGTCGTGGTGTTGCACGTTTCAGTTCTTTGGGGAATGCTGGACTGGAAAGCGGGCTGTGAATCCTCTCAGAGAGGATTAAAAAGGAGAATTCCGATTTCTGGTGCAGGGGAGATGGAGATGCACTTGGAAGGAGTGATTCCCGCTTGTGACTCCATTGTGATCCCCTCCTTCCCCAGGGATCCATGCTGTTGCTCCATCCCTGGGTGAGTTCTGCTGCCAGCAGCCCCTGCCTGCCTAGGGCTGAGCCAGAGGAGGTCTGCAGGCAAAAACAGGGACCCCCCCAGTGCCCAGGAATTAGGGGGGGGCAACACTTCTGTGGGAGATGCAACGATGTGCTCACAAAACAGGGCTTTGTAAGTGGCTTACTGGGATATCAACACAGGGATTGGGCACGTGTGGAGGTGATGGATTTAAGGATGATTGTGTGTCAGGCCTTAGGGCATGGTAATGCCTTGGAGTAGGGGATGTCCCCAACATCTGACCAGCTGCACAGGATGTGTCCTTGCGGTCTCCCAGCTCGCCTGCCAGACACAAAATCCCCATCCAGGCTGTTGACAAAAAGCCATTCTCCAGGGCCTTCCTGGGGAAAGGGCAGGCTCGGAACTCCTCCCTGGAGGATACTCTGCTCCCTGTTTATTGTTCAGCACGCTTCTTTTCACTCCCAGCAAAATATGGTTTTTTTGTGCGGAGAGAACAGGCCTCCCTTTGGGGGCAGGGATCATTTGCATTAATTAACGGAGCTGTTATGCATGGCCACGCTCTGTCGCATGGAAGCCAAACAAACGCCTCCTTTTTTTCCCCCTTCCCCCCCCCCCCTTTTTTTCTTTTTTTTTTTTTTTTCCATAACCTCCAAGTTATTACAAGTCAGGCACCGCATCCGCTCCGGCCGACGCGTGACACGTGCGTTCCTTGCTGCTGTGCGCTCCACAAAAGTGGGCTTGTGTTTCCTTTCCCCCCTCTGGAGCTCTGGACACTGCTTCACTGTCTCCCGTGGTCCAGGCACCGTTCCCCATTAATTACATCTTAGCAGGCCTTCATTTCCTGGGAATGAAGTTCCAGCAAGGAAATCAGGAATATTTAGTGCTGCCAGCGAGGTGGGGAGTTCAGCGCTGGGAGCAGCATGAGCAGCAGTGAGGTGTTCCTTTCTGTTCCTTTCCTTTTCCCCCACTGGTTAGTTATATATTCTGATCCATTAAAGCAAAAGAGCTCTGATAGGAACAAGTTATTGTGGAGCAGAGGGGACAGTGGGAAGTGGGACTGAAGGGGTTGTACCCACTTCAAACCTTCGACCAGCCCCATGCCAGGGCTTCAGGAGGGTGACCCTGTCTCCCAGAGGGGCTGGTGGGTGGGTGAGTGGCTCTTCAGAGCTGGATTGCTGAGGCTGCAGTGTGGCTGCAGCCAAAACCCATCCAGCAGAGCTGGTTCAGGCTGCCTGTGGGACTGTCCCCTGATTGTGGGGATGCTCATGGAGCCGAGTGGCAACGGGGTGGCATCTCCTGCTGGCCCTGTGCTCTTCTTGGTTGCATCAGAGACCAGATGACAGAGAGGGGGTGTAGCTCAGGGTGGCCCCTCAGAGCCCTGTGAGGGCTGTGCCAGCCCTCGCTGGTGACAGCAGGGAGGTGTGCCTGGAGAGGGGATGAGAATCATTGCAAGGAAAGATAATGTCACCCCTTGTCATCCTGCATTTGTACTTGCCCAGAGTCACGCAGTGACTCAGTGGCAGGGCTGGGAAGGGAGCCCAGCGCTTCCGAGTCTTTGGAAACGCGTTTGATTCCTGCCGTGCCAGTGCCTCGGCCGCAGCCACCTCCAGCCTGCTGTGCCCTCTCTGTCCCTCCCCTGACCGCTGGAGCCCAGTTTTGTGCTCCTCCAAGGTGGCAAACCTGTCCTCACA